TGTATGTATGTTAGTTATGTTATGTATGTTATGTCATGTCATGTTATGTTATGTTATGTTATGTTATGTATGTATGTATGTCAGTCTGTATGTATGTACTTGTGTATGTGTGTATGTATTCATGAACGCAAGCATGTATGTCTGCATGTATGTATGTATGCATGTAGGTAGGTAGGTATGTATGTATGTATGTATGTATTAAATTCATGTATATGAATGAAACATCGACGGAATTTCGAGGATGCTCTGCACGGACGCGCGATTTTGAATCAACAATCAACGAAATTTTCAGAATGCCCCGCACGGGAGCACGATTTTCTTCAAATTTTCAGAACGCTCCGCACAGGAACGCGATTTTGAACGAAAAACGATGAAATTTCCTGGAGCGCGATTTTCTTGAAAATTTTCAGGATGCTCTGCACGTCAGCGCGATTTTCCTGAAAATTTTCAGGATGCTCTGCGCGGGAGCGCGATTTTGAACAACGGAGTCACGAAATCCATACCGAAGCTATACCGGAGCGCTCCGCTCTTTTGAGCCAGGAAAACCACCTCGAACGAAGTACACCGGGACTCGTTCGTATAGACTTCCTCGACATCATTTTCATAAATGATCAGAATTTTCCGAATGCTCCGCACGGGAGCATCATTTTGATAGAGTTTGACGAAGATAAATCGACGAAATTTCGAGGATGCCCCGCACGGGAGCGCGATTTTTGAAGATATAAAGACGATGAAAACGCCAAAAAACGCGATCGTCTCGAGCGGGAACGCAATTCTCGAGTAAGAAAATTTGGAACTTTGAGGGTGTCTCGCACGGGAGCGCGATTTTCGAAAATTGGGCGCGACCAGTTCGGGTGCAGACACCTCTAGCAGGATTACTTTAAAGGCAGAGCGTCTGATTTTCGAGATCGAAAATCAACATAGAACGACGATTTTTTGAGGATGCTCCGAGCGAGAGCGCGATTTTTGAGCGATGCGCGACGGAAGAGCACGCAGGGATGGCGGGCGACGGTACATCGAAACGCGGTTTAGGGTTTTAGGTTTTAGGGTTTAGGGTTTAGTTTTTTGCAAGTATTGCAGTCTGTGCCCGGCTTCGTGTCCTAAGGCTTTGCAGGGCGAGGATGACAGGCATTGCAGAGGTTGGGCATGCAATCCTGTGTGAGCTTTTACGTCTTCTGCAGGTGGGAGTTTCTTCATTTGGGCTACTATGATGATGACTGTTCCCTGGCGCCTCTCAGAGGCGCGGGGTTGTTCGTGCCACGTCGAAAACGGCAAGCCTTCCTTGCCCAAATGCTTCACGTGGGATGCGGTGAAAACCATGGCCCAGTTTACCAGTTTAACAGTTGATGTCAGGGCCTGCGAATCAAGTCCTTTGCCGACCCCTTCAGGCAGTCTGCACGCATGCTGTTTTGTCGCATAAGAGTACGGGCATGGACAAGAGGAGTTTAGCCGTCTCCGCAGGTCTATGGTCTTTTTGGTGCTGCGCTACGGCCACGTGGCGCAGCTCAACTCCTACAGGCCGTTGCTTCACGGTGCATCGCCCAGATGAGCGCTCTCAAGACCATTGCGCGTTGACGCGCTGTGCCACACCACCAATTGAAGGCTTGCGTTGTTCTGTCGGCTCGAGCTCACCAACACAAGATCGTCATGAAACGCAGCTGGCAGTGCGATAGCACTGCAGCAGACATTCATGTTCCCAACCAGACACAAGCTGTGGTAGTTGAAGGCAACTTGAGCCTGCTGAAGAAGATAATTCAACCACAGACACATGCTATTTGTACTCATAGGCCGACTTTTCCCATCCGTGCTCAAAAGTTGTACACAAAGCAATGCTGCAGCCACATGATTGAGCCTTGGCACACATTGCCACCCTGCTGACAGATCGGCCGGACAGCGAGGCACATGTTGTGGGGTTCACCACAGGCTGACAGGCTTCAGTGCAGCTGCATTGCAAGCAAGTCAAAACTGTTAGGCATACATGAAGCGAGTCAAGGCTTCAAACAGGATGGATGGAAACTTTACTCTGCTTCTTGGTCAAAGGCAAAGGCCTCCTAGCAGAGCTTTGACATCATGCGGCTCAGAGCTTGGAAGAATTGCCTTGGAAGTCGTGATGTTTTTCAAGCTCTTGGCAACAGAAGTGGGTGGTGCAATTGCACGCACGAGACAAGGTTGTTGGCAGCTGTCAGTGCAACGTATATGTACAAAAAGGTGCTTTGCGTTCCCTGGCCTGCTTGTTGAGGCAGCAGCGTGTGCGGATGGACCAGTTTGATCGCCATGCCCTCCTGCAGTATCATCAGCAGGCAGGGCCATTAGACCCAACGTTAGGCCCGGAAGCAAGGTGTATGCATGCCAGCAGACTTGTTCTGGTACTGACCTTGTCACACAGCTGCTGGGTTCCCGTACGGCAGGGAGTTAATCGCATCATATGGACTGAGGCCATCACGCAGGCGCTGGCCCCTCAACAAACTCAGAAACAGCATCTAGGTTGCAATGCAGCTTTTGGCAGCACCTTTTCCAAAATGACTTGGCGCTGTCACTGCTACCTGCTAGCACTTCTTTTGATGCAGCGTGCGACTAATGTAGTACTTGCGCTATCGCTTTGGTTAAGGATGCCGTGCCAACTTGTCTTCCCTGATGACACGATGGCAATTGGTTCGCCACCACCTTCGCGGGGTTTGCTGCTGCCTGTGTGAACCTCAGTGTCAATTGCTCGTGGAAGGGAGGAGATGTGGTCTTGGCAGCATGATGGCCATCACAGCACCCGTTCTTCATTGAGTACTGTGGTACAACGATCTTGCTTGTGTGTAATGGCCTTCATTTGGCCAAGGATGCCGAGAGTGGTCAAGAGACCGAGGAAGAGAGGCAGCAGCCTTGCACTCGCCAGTTTTCTTTTGACGAATTTGTCTCCACGAAATTGGGCTGTAGTCTTGCAGTGTTTCTTCCAGGCCTCCAAAGGCTATAGCGGTTTGCTAATGAAGCCGGCTTGAGTTTGTGACGTTGTTGAGGCAAAGGCGTCTACTGCAAAACGAGCCCATCGTGGTCTACACGTCGTTGTCAGAGGACGAGGTGACGTTCAGTCACGGCAAGTCTGCGTCTTTCTGCGGTGCATTAAATCGCATTTTAAATCCAGCGGCACGGGACGGACTGGACAGGAATTCGTAATAATTCATACAAAGCCACCCTGAAGCAACCCTAGCTTTCCTGCAGTCGCACACTTCTCTCGCATGCCCAGACGAGTTTTGGAGCGATTTTCACACATCGTCAGCTCAATGCTTTTTCCGTGCATTCTGGGGCATGCTTCAAATCCTTCAAAAATGAGTCGGTGTGGTATAGTGTCAACAACATGTGTCGATGGCAGCCGGAATGGGTAGCGGCAACACCCTGAAGGCAGAACTTGAGCTAGGTGTGTTGTGGGTACATTTGGCTTGAAGTGTACTTTGGTTATCCCAAACACAGGCGATCAGCCCATTCATCAGGTGATCATGCCAGAAATAGTACGCCGTGGTGTGGCTTTGCTGACCATGGTGGCTCTGCAAATGGCTGAGACCTGAGATAGCCGGACTTCGGCTCGCAGCTGGATGACAGAAGAATTGCGGAGTCTCGCCTGGACCGAATTTTGGAGTTTTGGAGGTCTGCATCATTGTGGTCCTCACCGGTGGTGAGGACTGTTGGATTGTGCAGAGCAAGCAGTAAAGAGAATCTTTGTTTGGAGTCCACCCTGTGTCCTGCAAGGAGGACCAGCTGTTTGACCCAAACCAAGAGACTCCAAGCAGCGTCCAGGCACATACAGTTGTCGCTTCCTACAATGAGTCAGTGCAGCTGTTCGTGGCATGCACTGGCAGTTATTCCAGCTGAGCGAGGTGATCTTGGCAACAAAAGTCCCAAAGCTTGAATAAGCCCTGCACCACTCATCGGATCCTGAAACGTACCTCAAATCATCGAGGCAACGGGATCCCAAGAAGCAGTACACTGATAAGACCCACGAATTAATCAACGCAGCTTGTAGGACCAGAGGCTACAATGCTCAAATTTTGTCCGACGTCCTGATGTTATAAAGTTGTTTGAATTCCTGCTTTATGCCTGCACTTGTCGGTCAATGATGTCCATGCTTCTTGCCCTGGTGTCTTGCGAACATGCCGTGTTGCAAATTTGGAAAGCATGGTTCGACGGGAGCGTGCCGCGCCACAACGTTTGGCCAGGTGACGCTATACACGGCGCAGCTTCTGATCTCGTTCGCAGCCCCAGAGCCCAAACAGAAAAGACCAGGTTGACAAGTCTGTCATTCCGAACGCGGGCACATCCAAGTGTATCCGCTGAAGATATTTGATTGCCGTCTCCAAGGCCCGCCTTCCTCCTCGCCTTCTACCTATGGAGCTGCATCCTGGGCTTGCCTTCCGGCTCTGAGTCTAGCAAAGCTGAGACATCTTAGGTGTGGATGTCATGAAGCTATATACAGTCTTGAACCAGCTGGAGCTAGTGGCGAGCTCAGGCAAAGTGTGCCAAGGTCCCCATGCCTCCATGTTAGCAAAGCCTCTAGATACACCTATGCCAAAGGTGCTGACCGCAACGCTGGCGCTTCGGAGTCCGCTAGACCTTCTGGTGCCCAGAACGCTATGGGAGCAATGACGTTATGGTGCCAGTGGCTTGCAACTGCGTTTCTCGAGGTTTGTGCTTTGTACGTGCCGATAGTGCTTCTCAGCGATTGCTTGCGATCCTTGATGATGCCGTGAGCCCAGTTCAGTCCAGCATATGCAAGCCATTCGTTCCATTAGCATGAACGTGCCTGTAATGTGGCTCTTCAAATCAAGTGTGCGAGACTGTCAGGCCTCATTGCTTCATGATACGCGGCTGAACTTGAGGAAGCTGTGGCTTGCCGATGTAGAAAAGGAACGATCAAACAGGCTTTCTTTTGTCAACTAGTTCTAAAAGAGTTTCAGCATCGGATGTAGTAGGGCTTGGAATGAACATAGTGCTGTTTCACCGCTGGCCGCTGCGACGCGATGGTAGCAAGTGCAGGGCAAAATGGCTTTCACACGACCGCTAGGTTTTGAAACATGTCTGTGTCTGCAGCTCTTTGCCTTGCGTGGTCAGCACCTGTTCCCGCTGGACGAGCAAATAGATTCCTCACTGACGCGAGTTTATGACAAGCTGAACCTTGGCTTCGATTCATGCCACATGGCGCCGAATCTTTTCCAAAAGTGTTGCACGCGATTCAAGAGTTGCTACCTGCTCAGGAACGCGTATGCAGCGAGGAGTGCAGAGGGACCTCTCTTATCTCCTTGGAAACTCAAAATCCATTCAGACGCAGCGGATGAAAGCAAGTAAAAGTGCACTTAGACAGGATGCGTTGCGTTTCTGCTCCCGATCCTGCCAGGACTCCTCTGATGAAGGCACCACATTCAACCCCCGGCAACACAGACATCCAAATCTTGCCCGAAGGCTTGCATATGGATCTTTGCACTTCTCTCAATGTCCCCTGAGCTGATTCAGCTTATCTTGTCTTACATGTGCGTGAGTGGCTGCAAGTGGACTCCACGAAACTAACTAGCAAGATGCCCAAACAATTTTTCACTACTAACACCTTCGATCAAATTTGGCGCGGGACAAGTTTTTCAGCCCGTAGACAACAAGCACTTGGCATACATGTCATGCAGGTAATGAAGAATTTGATTGCGGCCTTGAATGTCTGCTTGTCTGCAGTCCTGCTTTTTTCACGGGTGGCAAAATGTTTTACTTCCGCAACGTTCAACCACGTCACCAACACAAACCCTCAGCGAAGAAGTTGCAGTAAAAACTGTAAGGTTCGAGATGTCAAACGAGAATTACCTGCAGTAAGTTGGCGGAAACAAATCATGGAGCCAACCCCATGGAGACTTCAACACTCAAGCTCAATCGATGTACTCCACGGTAGTATGCGCAATCTTTTTCTGCCTGGGCAGGCATCTGCAAGAAACCCCTGATACCTTTTTCCAAGACCTTTTTTCCTAGACCTTTTTCCCCCTTCCAGCTCAACATCGGCCGGCTTTGTATAGCCGCCATGGTAGCATCCTGATCGTCCATGATCAGTTTTTCCCAAAGTCTCAGCAAAGCCCCGCATCACATCCCGGAGCTCCTCATGTCCTACTAGCTCCAAGGCATTGTGCAGGCCACGACACTGGTGGAGCCTTCCATTTTTTTGCAACGCCTATCCTAGCGAGAGACTGCGTGCATGGCAACCCCATCCTGACAGGCTTTCGATGGCGGGGCTAAGCCTGAGCGGTGGCTTGAGAACGCTGGGTTAAAAATGTCGATGAATCTTGTGCTTTAAGAGCGAAACTCGGCAGTGCCATAACATGTCAGGAGTACTTTCGCAGCACCAGCACATCTGGCCGCAAATGCCAGCATTTTGTGTTGCAGCCATTGGCTGAAAAGCTGTCTTCATGGATGATCTCACACTGTGATTACATGCTGGTGACACAAAGCTACTGTGGCCAATTGACTCCCTACCACTTCAGCCTAGCTGCCCTCAGTGATGACTGTTTAAACTGCCGGGTTGGATGCGGACTGATATGCGTTGGTGCACTACCATCACCACCTTACATGGCCGCTGCCTCGGAAACTCTAGCATTGCCAGCCGAACGAGAGGAGCACGGACTACAATTGCATGGTTTGGAGGTTGCCGCAGGCAACTGTGTCACCAGCTGGGGAGGTTTCAGAGTGTCCTCAGGCCCCTGCGGGAGGTCCAAGCGCATGCAGCGAGGCACGCTGAAGCATGCTGAAGCTCAGCGGTCATTGCTGTTTGGAAATTAGACATCCTTTGAAAAAGGTGTGCGCAGTCCGGGTTGTGGCCCGTTTTCGACCTCCAGTCACTGACGAAGAACGGAAAGAGGAGTTAGCACCGTTGATGCCGATTAGTTACAAATGGTGGCTGACGTGCCACGCCAGCTTCGAGGAGAATCCCGTGTTCACCGTGGATTCCGAAGGGGTGGGGATCTCGTATGGAATTTTTCAGAAACATGCTTAACAAAAGATTGCTGAATGTAGGTCATCGAGTCCGCAGACCATTTGCCTGGCCAGCTTGTTTGGCATTCAGGATTCTGAGCAAGCTTCAGTACCATAGGGCCAGCAGCATGAATTTTTGATACTCCTTGACATTGCAGGCATGTCTTCCGGTTGGACAGCGCGTTCGGTCGGGTGCCCACAACGGGGTCCAGCGCAAGGCTGTGGTATGTCAGCTGTCAGCTTGAAGCGGATGGAGTATTCACGCAGTTTGTCGTGGTAGTTCTAGTTGTAACAACGTGAATCTCCGTCTGGATTGTTTGGCAAAGGTCAGGAGACGAGCCAGCAGAAGGTATACCAGGAAGTGGGCCTAAGCCCCAGAGCTAATCTACGAACTTGTCAGCAGGTTTGTCAGTTGCGTTGCTAGGCCGACCAGTGGTGCAGGACGTCTTGTGGGGCTTCCCAGCACATGCTGGCACCATGCTATGCGCGGATGAGGCTGAGCTGTGCTTGATGCGCTTAGGTCTGGATACAATGGCACCATCCTTGCCTACGGACCAACAGGATCTGGCAAGCGGCATGCTCGGCACATTCGGGCGGAGCACGTATTCCACTCCTCTTTTCTCGCCTTGCTCCAAGGACTTTCTGCATGTTCGGAAGACCACATGGGCGCAGCCCTCCTGAGCTGGAAGGCTTGGCAATGTGGATTGCAGACATTGCAAGTCAAAACTCCCAAGTCCGTCAGGCCTCGTGCCGCGTGCTGTGGAAGAGGCTCGAGGGGCCAAAAGCAGATTGGGTTGTGTCGCTCGGCAGACGTGTAGGCCATTGAAGTTCTTTCTTTAGACCGTCTGAGCGCAGGTCCTTCAGCATGTCAGAGAAAGCGGAGGCCAGCGGCCTTTCAAGATGCCATCCACGTTGAATTCCAAATGGTGAGGCACTACGTTGCTTTCCTGCAGCTTCTTTGAGGCGACTCGCGGACACTAGGGTTGCAAAGGAGCAGAAGCCATTGAAAAATCTGCATTCGCCTTCGTACGTACTCCTTAGAAATGGCTTGTGCATCCGTGTCTTGGGTTTTCATGGCAGTTGTCAGTGTTTGCAGGTCTACTTGGAGAAAGTTCGTGACTTCCTGAGCCCAAAGATGGCAAACCCGCTGAAGGACGCGTTGAGTTGTGAAGCTGCAAACTCTGGATGTGCCGTGAGTGTGTGTGGGAGGAGCTGCCTCAGCATGGTGTTGAAGGTCTCAGCTATAAAGAGGCCATCTCACTTGTCACTTCCACGATGCTACAAGCGGAATCTGTGTGTGACTGGCCCTGCAGATCTCCACAGCTGCTGAAGCTCTGCTGATTTTGAGGCAGGGGCTTTGGCCTCAGTCTTGAGGTCTGTCCTCTGACCCCTCGCACGAAGCAGTTTCAGTAGTCCTAGAACATGACGACAACGATGGTCAGCTGTCACGAGGCAGGTTTCCTACGCTTTCGCTGGGCTTGTCCTTACGGGCTTAGTGTGCTGAATGACGCTTCCATTGGGGCAGCAAGGTTGCGGCTGCGAGTGGCTGCAAATACCAGTTTGAACGAGCACTCGCAGCACACCTTGTTTTTTGTGCCGCTTGTGTGTTGAGTGACAGTTGCTGAACTTTTGGTAACACACTGGCTGAAGTTGGTGAGGTCTCGTTCTCATGCAATCTTCTCCTTGCTTTTGCGGGAGCCCAAGACATCACTCATACGAACTGTAGAGACTTTGTGCTGATCCATGCAACCGTCCATGCTATTCTTGCTGTTTTGGGAATGAATTTCTCAAGGCGACAGACGCAGAAGGATGGAATTCGAACGTGCAACCTGCACGCTTGACAAACATTCCCTTGTAGAAAAAGATGATTCGGGGGTGAATTTGCGGATGACGCGACCCCTCTCCACAACCCAATCTGTCAAAACACAATTTTGAATTGAACCGTTTACTTTGGCTTTGCCGAGCCAGGTGCAAGCTGACCCTGGTTGACCTTGCTGGATCTGAGAAGGCAAATGCCCGAGCACTGGAATTACCCAGCCTTTGTTCCTGGTGCAGGTTCGCAAGAGCGGCTCGGTTGGGGCTGGGAGCCTAACCTTTCATTGAAGACCTTCTGTAGCGGGAATCAGCACAAGATTCTTCTCATTTGAAATCCAGGGCATGCTGGAGGAGGCAAAGAAGATCAACTCTTCCCTTAGTGCGCCTACGGCTCAGGGGTATTGATAGTCCAGTGTCTCCAGAGTAAGTGTCACTTTTTCTGACGCAGCTTCCGTGAAATCTCCTTCCATGCACAGCACCGCAGCATCATCATTCAAGCCAGCTGTGCTTTGCTCAGCGGCAGGCTCGGCCACGTCATCGAAGCACTCTCTGAGCGCAGACCGTCCGAGACTCCGCCAAACGGGACCAACCCTCCCCAGTACACATGTTCTTCTACGTTCCCAGAGCTTGGCGTAAGGCATGTCCCCTACAGAGATTCGCGGCTTACCCGTCTCCTTGAAGAATCGCTCGGTCCAGGGCTTGGCCATTGTAGCGTTTGGTGTGCAAAGATTCTTACGTATCAACTCAATCGTTTGCGGATGTTTGCGGCAGGTGGTAACTGCAGAACGACACTACTTGTAGCCTGCTCGTCAGGGAGCCCGGCATTCTTCCTTCAGCGAGTCACAGGTTTCACCAGATGTGGCTTCAGGTCCAGCAGCATTCACGCTGCCGAGACTTTGTCATCTCTGCGCTTCGCCGTACGTGCGAAGAAGGTTGAAAACAGCGCCTTCACCTTAGAGTAGGTTGTGTCCTTCCTTGGATGGCTATGCCATGCTATGCATCTGGCTGGCACTGGCGGAGGTTGGTGTGACTGTCTCTTCCAGCTCAAGCCACGCCTCTCAATCTTCTGAGAGGCTTCAACACCGTTGTTAAGGCTTTTCCAAGCTAATTTTGCTTTGGCAGGCAGCTCGAGCGAAGAATTGCCCAGCTTCGACGAGAACTCGCATAGCCCCTACCTGTGATCATGAAAATGCCACTGAAGGGATGCTGCAGGGTGACAGCACGGATTTGGAAGCGGGAAGTGTCACCATCAGAGGTTTTGGACGCTATGTCAGATTCCAAACTCATTGCTGCGGCGAAAGAGTTCCTGCACCATCAGCGTCGGCCATGCAGCAGTTTTGCGGACTGTCATCCCAAGCTCAGGGTGTTCTCTAGTAAGCTCAGCGACCAGAAGCAACGCAAAGCAAAGTAAGGGCAAAGAGAAATCAGGAGCAGATTGAGTTTGTTGGGGTCGCAGAAGGATGGGGAGGATGACTGTTGGAGGACAAGGCAAGGAACGCCAGGATCAGGCATAGACTTATTGCTGCCTGATTGCGCTGGGTTTCAACAAACGTGCAAGATTGCAGGAATCTCTGGTGGTCTGCTGTAGTGTTGAAGCAGCGCGCATCACTGGCCTACGGATAGGCTATTGTACGCTCTGTAGCCTTTCATGCTCCTGCTGTGCTGCTGTTGGCCAGTTCAATTCCATCATGACGCCACGAGAGTCCCATCCACGTAAAAGTCTGTGTCCAAGTTGGGACCATAGCCAGAGCCACAACTCTCCCGCTCACTCTCTCTGTCTCTGTCTATCCCTCTACCAGCTTGGACATGTGGCACGCCGAATTGCTTCTGTGCTTGCTGGAACTGTTTTAACGTTTTGATAGCTACAACACATGCGCTTTAGCTTAGTTTGCTTTTGACAGCCACCAGTAGCTCAAGCATGTATGTCCACGAAGAGGCATTTGGCATTGGAGGGTGGGTTGCGTCTGAGGGTCAGCCTCGCATCTGGTTTGCCGATTTTTTTTGGGTTTCTGACTTCAAGTCATTGGGGCTCCCAGACAAGGCGGAGGTCAACCTCGACATGGTCTCTTATGTTGGCTCAGATCGGGTTGATGCTGAGCTTTGCAACCACATGTGTGGGGGCCCGCCTTAGGGGGAGTCTGTGGCAAGCAAGCTATTTACTACGAAGGTCCCGTTATGTTCTGCACAGCGCCTCGCAACTTTAGACTAGACTCGACCTCTGGGGTGTCTCTGGATTACACCCATATCTCAGGATGTCATAACGAAAAAGCGCGGGGGTTGGGAGGGGATTGGCTCAGCAGGTGGAATGGCACAGACGCGTTGCCTTCCGAGTCCATGTTGTGGGAAAGCGAGCGCTATATTCGCATTTTCCCTCAGCTGTGCGGTTGTTGTCGCAGCCCCCGCTGCTAGCCGGCGTGTCTATCGTATCTTAAGTCTCGCACATGCGCGCTGCTATGCAGGATCCCTTGGGCGTTGTGCGGTGTGGCTTGTCGCTGTGTCTGTGTCTGCCTCCGATGCGCGGTATAGCCTTCCCCCATCGTGTGTGCCCTTCCCACTGGCGGCTTGTGATGCGATGTTGACCTGCCTCGGGCGCCATTGCAGGACTTCACTGAAGCCTTGGGCTTGGCCGGTTTAGCCGCTTTCGCTTGTCGCTGGGTCTGTGTATGCTGGCGGTGCGCGGTTGGCTTCGCTTTCCTTATCATGTGCTCCCATCAACGGCTTGTGTGGATGCGCTTATTTCACTCGGGATGTTGGGCGTGAGTGCCACTACAGTCTGTTTGCCGCGCAGCGTGCAGTCAGTCTCACATTTTGCTGGTGGCATAGTACGCCAGTCTGGCACGTGACGCACGTTCCATCAGTTTCCATTATGGGGCGTGCCATTTACGCATACGTAGATTTTCTTGAATCCCTACTCGCGAGTACTATGCGTACGTCTGCTAGAACCCTGTGCCAGAGCTCAGAGCTATGTAGCTTGCGTCTGAACTTGCAGACAAACACTGTTCATACTCCTGGCTGTAGCATCAAAATGTTCAGAACTCACAGATATCCTTTGAGAAGAGGTTAAACATTGCAGTGTAGCTGGTTAGCACGATGGGAGACGTCGGATTTAGAGGGTTGAAGCCCAATTCGCAGCTGCATTTCCATCCACTGACTTTGACAAATGCTGTTGCGAAAATGGTCTCCATGTCCAAGTTTCTTCACCAAATGGTGCATGAGCCGGTGAGCTGCAAGTTATATAGCCACAGAATATCATAACGTCAGGAACGTCAGGCCACTGGACTGGACTTTGTACCTGATATCTTGCACCGCTCCCTTCATGGCAGTATCATGTTTGGTGGTATTGATCGGTATATTCTTCCCTGGCGATGCAACACCACCAAGGCGAGGTTGGAAAGTCGGAGGGCGGCGTGGCAGCCCAGCATGTGCAAATCGTACCTGCTCGAAAGAGCGCTTCGTGTTCGACATCATTCCACCAAGTTTGCAGATGAAGGCAACACGCTCTCCGTCTGCGGATCGGCACAGATCATCGAGGCTTCACACCAGTGGCAGTATTCGTCTGACGTCAGTACACCTGTCTCTAGAATACCCCAATCAGGTCGAGCTTAACAAAGTCTGTGTCAGCATCGTCTCTGAGTCCTGAGCGTCGGAGGCTCAGTAAATGTGTATCTGTAAAGACGACCTTAATCAATCTACCTGCTCAATGGCCCAGGCCGTGCAGGCAAGATGCCAGCTGTCGATTTCTCAGCGGCTAGAATCCTTGATCAAGTAAGATTGTGAGCATGTCGTGAATAGGGTAGAGTCTGCTTCGAGTCTGCGGTATACCTGAGAACTAAAGATACTGAAGCCAGTGCGCTTGCTGAGGTAGCACGTGGGGTGAAGCACATCAAGGCCTCTTGTAGTTTGTTCATGCTTAGTGGCTTCATCTTGGCGAAGCAGATCGATTCATCCTATTGTGTTGAGTGTACAGCGCAAGCAGGTTGCGGTCAACAGCGACACACAGTTGCCAGGCGCCGCATACAGCGCTGCAGTTCGCAGAGAGCGTGGCTGTGCGCAAGGAGGCCATTCGTTCAGAAGGGTTTGTGCCTTTTCGGCTTTGTGCAGGCAGACTTGCCCCACAGAGATGGCGTGTAAAAGTTGTGATGCTGCGGGGTCAACCTCTGGCGGCACTGGTGGGTACATCACGAGACGATGGGTTCGATGTGACGAGGACGTGCCAGAAGCGCTACCGCTACCGATTAGCAACAGCGCCGTGGGCTTGGAAAGAAGTCTGTGCGGCTGCCGAGCCCCTGTGGGGTGGAGAGGCAAGAGCGGGATAGCATCTTCCAGCCACACTATGCTACATTCGCAAGCTAGCTCCATAGCTGCATAGCTGGCAATGCCATTCAAAGACTTTGAGGCTGCTTTACTCGGGAGCTGCAGAAGCACTGCTGATCCAGGCAGGGAGGGTCGTTCAAGCTCCAGACTCTCCATGCAATTCATTTCCTCTCTTGGAAGACTTGTTTGGCAAACCGGTGCCAAGCCAGATGCAGCCACGCGATGAAACTTTGTGGCAGGATCTGGTATGTCATCAACGTGCTCAGTGACTGCAGTGTCCCTAACAGGCCCGATGCACAACAGGTATTCTATGGGACGAAATCGTGAAGCACGGGTGATTAACTGGGTCTGTGTGAAATTTGAATCATAACATTCGCGGCGAGGTTCGGTGTATGTAGAATTGAAATGCACATACGTCATATCAGGTAAAGGCTGTCTGATATGCTTTGGGTATTTAGCTTTTGCAGACATGGTCATGCTGCTGCTCAAGCTGCTATGCAAGTTATCCGTCACATGCAGAGGCTCATCCGCTGGCACACCGCCCTGCACTCAAACTTTGGGGATGCTAGAAATTTTTCGAAAAAGCTTGCATTCTCATATCAGCATGTAGAGGTCACATTGTGGCAGCTTTGCCCTTGCCTGCCAGAGGCTCTCACGTGATCGTGAACCGCACCGAGACGAGTCGCCCTGTCCCCCGAACACGCGTGCGATCCCTAGAGTTCCGGTTCAGCAAGCGTGTTCAAGACCCGGATCAGCCAACTCTTGTGCCAAGGTGGTAGCTACAGCTTCCTGATAGAGGCAGGCATGCTCACGAGGTATTGAAGTAGCAGAGCTGCATCCAACTGCACGCTGCGCGACTTCTCTGGCACAGGCAACACCTCTGCCAGCACAGGGCTTGAATGGACGGCAGTGGAGCGCTTAGAGAGATTCTGACACTGCGCGTCACACCTACCTGCAGAGAAAAGCAGGGCAATGTCAGACTGGGCTTGTGCTTTTAGAGGTGACTGGAAATGAAGACACTCGCCAAGGTCGTTAGAGCCGCATTGTTGCGACGCAGTCCTTTTTGAGGTCTGCTCCTCAGGTCAGCATTTCTCGCTCAGTTTGACAAATTTGTTGCCAGCTCGGGATACCTTACCGTCCTCGTATGAAATTCACATGCTGTCATGAATGTCGCCGGTTGTGGCCGGGCCCAGTGTCAAACTCATGTTCTTCGACTTCCGCCACCTTGTGCACTCGTGCCATAATTCTGTTTAAGGCCATTCAAGACGTGTTTGAGGGACGCGGAATGAAGGCCAGGAATCTGATTCTTGAACTAACTGATGGGGCAAAAGCAAAAAAGGCAGCTCAGGGAGGTTCATTGTAGAAGAGTATGCGCATGACGCACCTGCAAGTGAGGATTCAGTACGGCCTCAGATAAGCTGGATGCAACCTGCAGTGCCTGCAGGCAAGACCCATCGAGCCAGAAGGACCCTGTCTTGGTACTTGGGTAACGCAACCAGGGATACCCAGGAGATACCCGGAGCCTGTGCCTGTCGTCAAGGTCCCCCGGTGGCCCAGATCTCCGGTCGCTGCCGTGAACTGGAGAGGCAACTTGAGGCTGAACGCAGGCAGCACGCCCTGGAGCTGCCTGGCAGCAACACCAAGGCCAATTGCAAGAACTACAAAATTGTACGGGTACCCGATTTGAGAAGAAATTGCTCACCGGGGCTCGAAATGACAGCCCTTTCCACGGAAGTAGCATACTGCGTTTATGTGTTTTAGCTGTCGCATCACACCAGATGTATTTGGGGTTGCACGTGATCATAAGAGCCATGCCACAACTACAACCTCTTGCGGGATCAGGACTTGCAGGCTTGTGAGTGGGTGGGCGTACCATGCTTGTCCGCAACTGCGTCATTTATGCTGGATTCTTTGAACAGCATGCTAGGCTGGAGAACCTCCATCAGCGGCATTCAGAGGCTCGCTGCCTGTGTATGTGGGAGTGCTGTGATCGAGTTTGGCGCTTCCTAGGTACGGTCCCAGATCTCCCCAGCACGTCGCAACACAGTCTTAGGCTCAGGTCTCAAGCATCCGGAGAAAACGGGAGGTTTTTCGAAGAATTGGAACTGGAATGAAATGGAAGCATTGCAAGGCTTCTGGTGCCTCACGCCTGGCTGCCTTGGCCAAGACTGCAGCGTGCACAGGTGAGCCCAAACTCTGTGTGACAACTGAAGCGAAGAATTCCTGCAGAGGGCAACAACTTGTTCTCTTGGTGACTACGCTTTCTGGCCCACGGTCTGTTGTGCTGGTCAGCAGTTGGCTGCAGGTGCGATCACCGAAGGCACGGCAGGCACATCGAGGAGCCTTGACTACTACGGAAAGTGCAAAGTCGCATCTTTGTTTTCTGTTGATGTGCTCGTCTGCATTTACTAACCCTTGCTTGCACAGCAGGAAATGCTCTAACATCTTTGCTCCGCCAAAGCGACCATAGAGGGGAGATGGGCGATTGCTGAAAAAGCATGGCAAGCATGTTTAGGAAAGCTGAGCTGCAACTCCTGAAAGCGCCTTGCGAGAGCTTTTTTCGTGACCTCGGAAATAGTGAGGCTTGAGGCTTTGTCGACGAGGGGGCTTTGGGAGGGCACTCCTGGAAGCTGTTTGCCCATGTTGGAGCTGCCGGGCCCCCCTGGGTGCCCCGGAATCAGAAATGGGCACCCGCAGACATGTTGATGAAGTTCATAGGTTGCCTCATGCGCAGGGCTGTTGAAGCCCTCAAGGTCTGACAGTAGAAGAGAAAAACATCCAACCCCTGCCCAACTTGTTCATTGCTAGCTAAGTCAATGTGAATAGCATTCTCCGCCAGGTTTGGCCTCGAACAGGAGTTTGCCCTTTGTGCATGCTTGCAAAGCAGCAAGGATGGGAACCTCGGAAAGCGCAAGGCAGCCTGGGAAGGGTGACGAAGCCAGGGCCTCACTGCGTCCCGCGGAAACGGAATTAGACATTGTCCATCCCCAAAGTACCATTTGGCAATATGTGAGACAATATCCGTATCAATATCAAGCATCCGGGGAAGTTAGCATTGGCTGAACTCATTGAGGCTTGGCCGGTGGCACCTGCCCATACAGTCCCAGTTTCGAGGACGTCCTGCTTTGCAGCAGCTGGTGTCTCAGACTTCAGACTTATTTGTCGAAGTTGGTTCCCCGATTGGTTATTTGATGGGTCTGCCATGCTGCCCTATGTAGCTGTTGCTGAGAGAAAAGCTCTGCCGCGCCGAGGTGAACTGCTTGCTCGGAGCTGAGCATATCAGCAGCTGTCTCCACTCTGTTGTGGATGTCGCATGCAGACGTGGGTGGCATTTTGAGGCCAGCAGCAAGCAGAACTCCCAGAGCTTCCCCTGTTCTGAGCCAGGACATTGCCGAGAGACCTACATGTTTGCGTGTGAGAAAGGTTGTTGTTTACCGGCCAGTACCTGTGTGGCTCTCCGACAACTCAACTGATGCCCTCAGTGCTTGAGGCGGGTTGACTGCCCTGAGCTGTCACTGCTTAATTGCACAGGACCATGATCAATCATTTTGCACTTGCTCATGGCATGCCCAGACTCTACCACGATCGCACCAGATCTTGAGAAATGAAGGGTTGTGCTGACAGGGACAGAAAGTATCGAACATTGTAGCGCACGTGCCTGAGGGAACTGCGTCGCAGCGAGCTGGCCTGCCTCTCAGGGATGCACTATGTAGGGAGCATGGTCCGGTGTGGAGAATTTGCGTGCTCTATGCCTGCGAGGATCCGGAAGTCGCCTTTTGATGGCCTCTGCTGGTGCCTAAATTCCTGGATCAGGTGAGCATGGCTTACCTTGTTCTGTGCTAAGGCTGCGAGAGGAAGCTGGCGCATTGCAGGCACATTGGTGGGAGAATCTGCGTTGACTCTTGGGTCCTTGCAAGCCAGTCTATGGCGAACGCGTTCTAGCCTGCAAGCCGTAAGCCGCAGGCAGCAGCATTTCGCCTCGGCAAGGGTCGGTTGCTTAGCCGGGGATGGCGACTGCATACCCTCACTGATGCCATGAGATCGGGCCGGTCTTGGCTCCATGTGCTGAGGAGCACAAAATAACGACCTTTTGGCTCCCTCTCCACCTCCCTCCGCTGACTCATGCTGCAAACTTTAACAGATTGCATGGACGATGTGTCTGGTTGTCTCCACAGGCTTTCCTGTAGCCCGACACCACGACGTGGTCAAGTTCTGATCGGAGATAGCTTGCAGGCCCGCAGTTTGGAGGCAGGCAGTGCTCTTGTTGCTGTCAGGTTTTAGCTTTGCGGTGTGCTGCACTGTAGATTAAGCACCAGAAATTGAACCGTTTCACGGTGCAGCAGGCGCTTCGTCCGCATCGCTGATGGCAATCGAACTGCCCCCAAGATTCTCAAGCTGTGACATGCGGTGCATTTCATGGCATGCTGTTATGTCCAGATCGAGCACTGGCACCAGGGTCAACCTGAAGCGACTTTTTGAAGTGTTGGACCTTTAGACGAGTTTCGTCTGGTCGCAATCGGCAACAACATTGTACAGATTAGATTTGCCACTGGTTCGGCATTCTGCTGACCAGTCTGCCTGAATTAAAGAATTTAGAAAATGAATGGCAAGAGAAGTGAAACCTGATTCGTAAGTGTGCAACATGATGGGAGGGCTAATGATTGGGAAGAATATGAGAGAAAATGAAGCAACATGTCCTTTGAGAAATGTAGATAAGCGAATGTATATGGTCACGCAATTGCTGGCCCTCCCCTGCAATGGTCAAAATCTTGGCCTCCTTGCCCTTCCCTGCGGGTGGCTATAATTGTGGGGTTGGGACGGAGCCTCCCCTTTTCCTGCCGGGGGGGGATTGCCCGCCCTCCCGTTCTAGGGAAACCATTTCCGCTGGATAGGATAAGAATTTCTCCTCCCTTGGGCGGATTGATTACGAAGATTTTTTAGAAATCGAATTTATATAGATATTTCTGGATATAATAAGATTTTTGATATTCATAGATATTTTCGATTATATAGCGGCCAGGAATTTTCTATAATTCAATATTATGGTGCGGCAAGTTGCGGTCATTTCGCTCGCGGGCGGCCTAGAATTATTGGCTGATTTTTTAAATGCCTTCTGCAAATTTCGGAGAATTTTAAAATTTGGGAGATTATAAAATTCTTGGGATTCTAAAAGCTCTGAGATTTTTGGTTGTGTCGAGGATTTTGATCGCGCGGTCTTTTATTTTTGGAATAATTTTCTGAATTTTTTTATGTAGCTACTGGGCGGAATTCAGAGATTCGAGACGGAAATTCAAAAACTTTCAGAATTTATAGATTGATCGGATCTGACTACGGAAATATAGATATTATTACGAACTTTTGTATGGATAATCTAAGAGAGATAAATGACGCGGAAAATTCGGGTTGGATGAAGATAATGAATGAATCGATAGCTTTCGAGATTTCGGCTATTTACGTGACGGCTCGGTATCGATTTGGGGCGGAGAATTAAAATCTTTCAGAATCTCTTAGATTGGTCTTTTTATATGGGCGGACGTGATTTATATTTCTCGGATTATCGGCGCGGCTATTTATAGGAATATTTAGAGTAAATTCTTTCCTAATTCGAATCTATATATCATATATGAATAATTCATCGGACTTCTTATATAAGCAAAAAAAAGAGATATTTATTCATCGGCATTTCTCGTTAAATATTTTTCGTTGTTATGGATTGTGGGTCAATTCTAATGATTATTACAAGAAATGGGCTTGGGGTCTGGCGTGGTCGGCTGAAGGGTTTAAGGATTTAGGGATTTAAGATTTAAGATTATTTTTTAGAGCTTAGGATTTACAATTCTTTAAGATTTAGGATTTATCTCTAAATCTTAAATCTTTCGTCTGATCATGCCGATCTCTTAAAATATCTATTCAAATTCAAAAATCTATTCTTCAATTATTTGGGAATTTTGAAATTCTCGAAGATTTCGAAATTTACGGAAGATTCATCTATAAGATATATATATATTGAAAAAAGAAGAAGATTATAGAAGATTTTTCATTTATAATTTTGGATTCCATATTGAATAATCTTTATTTAAATGATGCTATTAATTCTTCATTTCTATTGTATTGATATTATCAGAATATATATTTCTTTTTTTTTAAATTTCAATTTATTAATTTCCTTGAACGATAATCGATCTATTTATTTTATTGCTCAATATTCTTTTTGATTTATTCATTTTATAGATTTGAGAAATATTGAAATTTCAAATTTCATATTGATGAAATTATTGGTAAGAATATTTTCATATTCGTTTTATAGCTATATAATTTATCGAAAAAGATGATAATTTTCCATCTTCTCATATATATATTCGTATTCATTATTTTCTGATTTTATTTCTCAATTTATATTCTTTTAGATATCGATTCAATATAGATTTCGAAAGAAAATATTCTGAGATTATCTAGATTATATGCGGAGAATATATTTTGATTTTATAGAGGATTATAAATTTCGGATTGTCCGAAATGAGAAGATAGAAATCTATTTCATGATCCTGAATTAATTTATAGATTCTAGAATCGGGAGAAATCATTTCCATCTTAGATTCTTAAGATCTTCTGATAATTTTATAATAATAATATAAATATATTCTCGAAAATTAATTCTTCCGCCACGTTGATCTTATAGAAATATATCTTCTCCATTTCTCTACGAGAAATATAATTTATTAAGAAGATTCCCCATATATCGAAAATTTCGTCATCAGAATGATTATAAATTCATATTATAAAGAAGATTCCTGCTTCTTTCCTATAATATAATCCCAGGATATCTCTAGATCACGTCTGAACGATATGTTATCTTGCCCTTCCGCGGGGCTGCAAACTCCGAACTGCCCGCTGCGACAGATCAAATCAAATCTATAAAGGAAGAGAATTATCATATGAAGAGCTACGTCAATCCCTCTCCCTCTAGACTCCTGCCGCAGGCTTTGGGCCAGGAACTATAATAATATGAATTATATTCTCCGAAAATAATTATTCCGCGGCACTAATCACGTAAAATCTTAATTTATATCTTCTCCGCTTCTCCGCCATAGATATAGATCATTAGGAAGATCCTCCATATATCGAAAATTTAGTCTCAGAAATGATTCTAAATTCATATTATAAATAAGATTCCTTCTTCTTCCCTACGATAAAGATTCAAGATATTTATAGATCATATCGGATATTATATTTTTTCCTTTCGCGATCCTGCAATCTCCGGATTGCCTATTGCGATAGATCATCATATATCTATAAAGGGATAATTATCATATCTAGAGCTATCAATCTCTCTCGGCCTAGATTCCTGATATATGATAATATTTATGTCGTCTCCGATTTTCTGTCATAAATATCAATCATTAGGAAGACCCCTCATATATCGAAATTTTTATATCGAGAAAATATTAAGATATTTAAATCTATGATGAATCAGAGAACGTATTCCATATTATATCATTTTCATAATTATCATCATAACTCGAATCTTTTCTCATGAAAACGAATATATTATTTTCTGAATATCGAATCTTTGGATTTTTTTTATCTCTAGATTCTGGAAGATAGATTTGATGAATGAAATTATGATTTTCTATAAAGATATATTCAAATATTTATCGATCATTATAATAAGAAATCGAGAAATAGATTGATATCAATAATTGAAATTAATTTATATCAATAATTTGATTTTCTCCTTCATCTTCAAATTGAGCTAATCTTGCTAAATTCATTTATGAAATTTTTCATCATAATTTCGGTTTGGCGATATTCCCCGACCCCATCATTATCGTAATTTTTTCTAGCATAATATATATCATGACGATATGAAAATCTCAAATCAGGCATATTATTAAAAAGAAACAGAAATTCATAGATCGTCGAATCATAATAGGAATGCAAATTGATAATGCTCATGATTTATTTGATTTATATTTATTATAATTCTTCGTTCAAGATATTCAAAGGAAGATATATAGATTAAATTTTGATATTCTAATAAAATAAAAGAAATTGGCAAGCATCTCTCAATTGATCTTCAAAAGATGGAGGAATTTATAGGAGATAATGATATCCATACGATCGTGATTAATCATTTGAGAAATCAAATTTTCAAGAACTATCGTCTCTGATATTCATTGATCAGGCAAATCTATCAATCATGATTTCAAGGAATAGATAATCTATTCTCGAATTTCTTATAGATCTCCTTCTTGATATAGGATCATTTGATTTGAATGATATTCGTCATAAATGAGATCTACGAAATATTTTATAGAATTGATGCCATCTCTCGATTCAATGATGAGGAGATCTAGGATAGAGATATCGATCGGCGCGTGATCGGGCTATAAGGGATATGATAAGAATTTGGATAGATAGATATCTCGAATATATTCGATTTCAATTTCTCCAATCGTATTTCCATCACGAGCAATCATGATATGATAGGAATATAGAAAGAGATGATATTTGGAATTTTGAATTAGATACTATTTCATATGATATATTGATTTCATTTTCTATATTCATATAAGTCCTGCTGAGAAAAACTATATAATCAAATATTCAAATAAAGATATCTGATTCGCCAAATAATATCAATTATCCGATATAAATTGAAGATATCTCTATATAAGAAGGCATATTCTAATTCATTTAGATCTCTCCTATTTCCTATGCATCGAAAGAATCATACGTTTTTCTAGACTGCCCCATCATTATATCTTGGATTAAGATTTCAAAGAATAGATATATAATTTCCGGCCCCCCCCCTCCCGCCCCCAGATCTATATTTAGAGTATTCCCGCTGTATTGGCCCTCATTTGGAGTGGCTGAGAGCATTTTCCTTTATGAATTCCTTTTAAAATTGAATCAAAAATCAGAGAGAAATAATCAATTCCTGGATATGAATTCCTTTGAAAATTCAATTAGAAATTAAAGAGAAATCTTCATTCCTGGATTTTTATTCAAAGATTTTCCTTTATATGAATTCCTTTTAAAATTTAGTTTGAAATTAATATATTATTATAGTCCAGCGACCTAGAAATACTACTTCCCTGCAATCTGGGATATGGAAATAGAAAAATTTAGGGATAGTCCAGCACCTTTGCAATCCCGAGGAGCAAAATATTATATTATCCCTAAATTTTTATATCTAGGAATCAAAAATTTAGGGATAGTATAACACTTTTGCAGCCCAGAGATACAAGAATGCTGCATTATCCTTAATTCTTTTGACCTGGGATTGAAGAATAATATACTGTCATTAAAAATCCTAAAAAATCTAGTTTCCAGAATCTTCAGATTTGGGAGATCCTGAAGATTCTGGAGAATAGACCTTTTTTTCCTAAGATTTTTTAGGGACAATAAAGCAATTTTCAATGGAAAAATCAAAAAAATTAGAGACAATATAGCACTTCTACAATCCAGAGGAGCAAAAGTATTATATTCTTCCTAAATTTTTGTATCCAGGAACCAAAAATTTAGGGACAATATTGGATTTTTACAATCCAGAAATACAAAAATACTATATTATCCCTAAATTTTCGTATCTAGGAATCAAAAATTTAGGGACAATCCAGCATTTTTGCAATCCAGAGGAACTAAAATATTATACTGTCCGTAATTTGTAGTAGCTGAGAGCATTTTCCTTTATGAAATTATTTTAAAATTTAATCAAAATTTTAAGAGAAATCCTGTATTCCTGGATTTCTCATTTTTAGAAAGATTTTCCTTTATATGAATTCCTTTTAAAATTTAATGAGAAATTAAAGAAAAATCTTCAATTCCTAGATTTCTTTTTTTTTGGAAGGATTTTCCTCTATATGAATTCCTTTTTAAATCTAATTAGAAATTAAAGAGAAATCTTCATTCCAGAATTCTCATTTTTAGAAAGATTTTCCTCTATGCGGAACTTGCGACCGGATTCTGGTTTCCAAAATCTGAATATAGCAGACTGACATTTTTATAACGAATATATGATTAATTTCATTCAAAAATCTAGAATTCATCGCTATTTATAGTATCTTCGGTTGATATAATATATTCATGGAGACGGCATGAGAAATTCATAAAACTAAGATTAATTCGACGTAGATCTTAGAAGCGAATATCATATAAATATATATTTTATATATAAATTTCTATATTAAATAAGAAAATATTCGCGCCAAGATATTCTTGAATAATATCAAGACCTCCTAAAGTTGCTCCGACAGCGACGAGAGAATAATATTCGGATCTTCTATTACGTGATCAAATATTATCTGGAAAATATCGCTTAGATATTGAATCGATAATTAATCTATATAGAAATTTGATAATCAATTTATCATAACGTGATTCGTACGGCATTTACTCGTGAGATATAAGTTACGATTTGAAATTCTAAGCGTTTATGCATCAAGAATTTAAGTCCATATAATATTCGTCATCAGTATCATTTTTTTCCGCCTTCAATAAATCATTTCCAATCTATAATTTTCTAGAATTGCTAATAAATAATTCTAATTCTTTCAAAGAAAAATTATAATTAATCCAATTCGAAATTCTTTCTATCATTTTAATATCAAAATACATATAATATATATAGATTTTAGATTTAATTTTCGACGCTTAGATCTTGAATATTAGATCAAAAATCCAATCTATGTAAATCCAAATTGACCAAATATATATTTTATCTAAAACGAAATTAAATTCAAAAATAATCAAATTAAATCCTAGGTATATAATCTTTTTTCTAATTTTCATTTTCTATATTATTTATATTTTAATATTTTTTTGATTATTTCTTATGAATCTTCATAGAATTCATTATCAGAATTGAAATATAAAATATTTATTGAATATTTCAATATTTCTAGAGATATGACCTATCAAATATATCTTCCGATAAATAAATATATAATATAGAATCTATAAAAGCTAGATAACGTAATTATATCATAAATATTTAATATAAAAAATATATCTATATATTTCGAGCATTCCCTCCCTAGAATCGATATTATATTTTTAGATAAAATATATAATATTTCCTAGAGCATCAAGGAGGCCCTGCGATTAGATGTTATAGCAGAGATTTGCCGTAATTACCCACTGCCATAAATCAATTAGATTGAATCTCTTTAATTGTTTTTAAGCTGTTTTGCGTATCAATGAATTTCAATTTTTTCATATCTATAAGATACTATAACGGGAGGATATGTGTGAGTCCCGCGCGCTGGGCTGCCTTCTTTTTATCATTTCAAGATCTATCCAATAATTGAAATGAGCGCGCCTAGTTGGGAATCCTTTCCTACATAAATAGAGAATAGAAATCAGAATATTATTTGAGATTATGAAAGGTTTATTTTGTTGTGCCATAGGGATCGCCGATCCCCTGATTTTTTGGCATGTTACCAGCCGTATCTCGACCGTGTTTGGGCCTGACAAGTCCAGGACTGGCAAGCAAAAGAACCACCATGTTGATGTAACCTGCGTTTGCGGCCGAAAGCTTCCCTGTAGTGCCAGCCTTGGTCAGCTTGCCGCCGGCAGCGCGATCCAAATCTTCGGCCTCTTTTTCGATGGCCTCTTGCGCCTCAGTGACCACTTGCTATCTCAGTTCTTTGTAGGGCTCGGGACGCAAAGCAGATTCAAAGTTTGCAGACAAGCAACAAGCCAATTGATGTGATGCTTCCTCTGCATGCTGCTGCGCTACATGATACGACTTGATGCACCCCTTTCTACCTCTGCTGCTGCGTGGGCACAACCAACAGAACTTACATGCTGCCGACAGCAAGTCCTCTTCTGTGTTTTCGAAGGGTTCGACAAAGTGCTGCCCTGCCATCTCGCTTGGTCGTATTGGCTGATGTCGGCTGGAACCTGAATTGCGATACATATTGAGCAAAAAGACAGGTGGGTTTTCGTACGAAGACAATGCGCCTTGCGCTGCTGACTTTCCATCTTTGGGCTTAAGCAACATGTGTCCCGCTAGGTCCAGTGTTCCACGCATTTTGGTGCTTTGGTTTGATGGAGATGTCTCTGAGAGCTCAGCTCTGCTGGCTCGTAGAAGACCCGGCTGCCCAGAGACCAAATTGTTCAATCGCCAGTTCGGATCCTTCAGCACGAAGGGTCAGCATGGGCCAGCCATACACATCCACTGGCAAAGAACTGCCTTCATACTGTCAGCGGAAATGTGCAGCAGCTTTGCAGAAGAGGACCTGAGCCAGGGCAAGAGCACCGTGGACGGCGAGACGTACTACTCAATGCTCAGCCGCGTGAGGTGCGCAACTTCTGCTTGGGTTGGGCCGGCCTTCACGTAAAACCACACGCACTGAATCAGGATGGCGAGTGCTGGCTGAACCGACAGCATTGCAGCATCAATCTCAGGACGTGTCAGGACTGGCTTGCAGAGTCCGAAGCAAAGGGTGCTTTTGCAGCCTTTCAGGCAGCTCGTCCTGAAATAGCTGCAGCAATGTCGGTCAAGCAGGTCAAGTAGCTCCAACGAAGTCGACTCTGCAGTCCTGTGTCTCCTCAACTTCAGGAACTTGGGCTGCGCGGACTACCCAGGCATTCCTCTGACCGAGGCATGGAAACGAAATGCTGGGCTGCACCCATTCTGGCAGGTTGTCTCACTTGCTGTCAGGCGTGTTGTATATCTCAGCTCCTGACGTATCACCCATGGCCTGCGGCTTCCTTGTCAATGGACAAACTGAGGTCATGGAATGTCTGTCTGACCAACAGGCAGAGATGCAATGGCTGAGCTGGTCTAAACAGTCGAGCTGAGCAACTCAAATCTGATTAGCATGAACGATGCAGGCGTATACTCAAATCGATGTAACATGAAGCTGAGAATCTCCTTAGGCTTTCCGGCGGTGGCAAAGTCTATGTCGACCTGGCTATCGCTGAGGAGAGGTGCTGCCATTTCCTGGACCAAGTTTTGCGCAGGAAGCTCTCACCAAACAGGCCCAGCATTTGAGAAAAGCCCAGCTTAAAACATATTCATATCAGCAGAACCCAAACTTTCGTATACAGGAATTAGTAGCTGCACAACTAGGTTTGAAGCATGGCCTTCTTTGGGCGGGGAAGAAGGTCCACGAGCGATGACGGCATTTCAGCCATGCTGATGGCTTCCTGTCTGTGAGATTGACGCGCAAAACTACCTCCTCTTTCAAGCAGCAGATGCTCCTCATCCAGCGCTGGACTTTGCTCTTGGCGCCCTTCATTGGCCGAGTCATTGCTGCTGGACTCGCTGTCCTGCGGTGGGATGGGAGAAACTGCAGCCCGTTGAATAAAAGCATGTCTGGGTTTCGCTGCGAAATTTTTAGCAGGAGCATTTTGGGCTTGTGGGTCTTTTCCTTGTGAGCTGATGCTCCTGTGTCCCTGGGCTTTAAGACTTTCAAGGATCTTTGTGATTCAGGCTTTGCTGGTTTTGGTGATGCCCTCCGGAAATAATTCGCTTAATGCCGTACAATGCTAGGAGGACGAGCGTGGCCCTGCACAATATGGACGATACGCAAACAATGTCAAAGCAAGAGTTTTGGGGTTCAGGGTTTCTTAGGTTTGCACTTGACTCACTTGACCAATCCCCAAGACTTGCTCAACCAAATCCCTGCTCACCTGACCACACCCCATTTTGCATGCAGCCTGCGAAGCCCTGCCAGCCGACTTGTTTCAAACAAGGAGTGCAAAGTCCATTCACTTGACCGACCCGCATACATCTGCACTTGACTAATCTACTGCATTTGCCCAAGCCACCTAGCAAAAGCGGTCTTCACAACTACTCTCTTGTGCCGACCGAGCAAATGCAGCTCGGGAAACACTATACACCGGTACTGCTGACACGACTGAAGACATCCCTCAGAAGCATTGCTTATGATTCAATGTCCTTTCAAGCAAAAATCATGCCTGACAGTTTTCAAGGGCTTCCTTTAGAAAGTAAATGAATGCCGGGCTCGGTTTTCAAAGGCATCCTTCTTCCTGAAGCCGAAGCCCGGACTTGGGGGGGGCACGCCGCGCACACAAGGGTCACGGGCGCTTTGGAATCGGTCTGAAAAGGCGAGCTTGGAGCACTTTTGGGGCCGGTTGTTCAAAGTAAAAACTTACTGGGTGGGAGAGGGGTTGTTGCCCTTTGTACATGTCTCGGCCAACAATATTCTTTCACGTTACCAGCCCTATCATCCGTGCTCAGTGTAAGCCAGATGAAGCCCAAATTGTTCACTGCACATAATCTCCCTTTACACGGGGGTTTCTCAAAAGCGCGGTCATGGATCCCAGGGATGTATGGAAGAACACGGGCCATTAAAGGATAGGCAGTGCTACTAGAAAGCGGTGCATGTGGCCTCATCTTCAGACTCGGCTCCCTCTGCTTCCTCTGGCTCCTCAAGGCACAAAGGCTCTCAACAATTTGGACCCGTCTTAGAGCAAACGTACACCAGAGCAACTAAGACAATGTCAGAGAGATCGACAAGAGCTTTGGGTGAAAAATGTCCGCGGCTTCCCACTCACAATTTTCAAGAGGTCGTGCAGGCTGACACTAGTTACGAGACGTAAGCCCTCGACACTCGCTTGAAGCTGCCAGGGAGCCAGTGGCTTCCCGCTTTTTGGGCAAGTTGCTGAAAGCCCTTTGCAAACTTCCAATGGTCGCTCTCAGGCGAAATTTAATTTGCCACAAGAGCATTCTGCAGCTCAAAGGCAACGGCTCTGTCCTCGAGCAGCTGCTGGGCTGCGGCCTCCCTCGAAGGCAAAGGTAGCGGGCGCGACACGGGAAGCTTTGCGTAGTCGAGCCCTAGGCCAGCCAAGGTACTTGTCCCCGCATGTTCCAATGCCATGATTCCAGGCTTCCTGGACCTTTCCTAACGCGCCCAGACAAGACTTGTCTAGGGCTGTGGCGGACGACTCGGCGCCTGACACTGTCTCTTGTTTCTTGCCAACCAACTCGGCAAATCGGCATGTGTGCTGGAACCCTGTCAGACTTCCTTTTGATTGGCGTGTAGCATTTGACGAAGGGGAAAGGAGGGCAGTCAGTCGTGGCAGGTTCTTGCCCAGCCATTCCTTCCTAATTTAGCCTGCCCCAGCCAAGGCCCTGGTACTTTCGGTGGCTATCCAGCTGTTTGCATGGGCAAGGTGTGACTGGTGTAGTGGCCGTTGCGCTGCTTCAACCCCAAACCGGGCCGGTAACTTAACGTTTGAAAAGATTGATAGCAATTGCTAGCTTTAGGCGGTAGGACTTCCATCAAATTTTCACTGTCTACATTACACCTCGGAAGCTTCCTGAAGTTGTGCCAGTTGATGACTTTACAATCCCAGCCTTTTTGCACCTGGCTCGCCAGCACTGGAGGCAGACTCGTCGCTGCCGTAGCCACTGAGGAGCCCCATGACTCACGCATGTGCCATCTATGCGATCTAGTATTCTGTCACGACTGACTATGCTCACATTGCATGTCCCAACCTACACGATGCTGCTAGCTAGTTGGGAAGCTGTGGCTGTGCATCAGGACATGGGGGTGCCAAACCTCATGTTTGAGTTCAGGCTGTTTTTCGAAAGCTCCACGAAAGCCAGCATTGCCCAGCAGCCCTGCCTGCATGCCACAGGAGGCAAGCTTGTCTTTTTGTGCTGGCAGCGTCAATCTTTCGTAACTTGCTAGCTTGAACAGAGATTAGATGTTCAGTAGCCGTTCTCGATGTAGCGCTTCACGAGCGGGGAGATGTAGCCCTTGCCCTTTGCCGTTTTGAACTTGGCAGGATTGATCCCATTGTACAAGGTCTTTGCCAGGTCAAGTGCTGCAATAAAGACCACCAAGGCAATAACGAACAAGCCAGCAACCTGACCATCAGTCAAGCCATCCTCCTCGGCAATGGGAATTATCAAGCCCAACTCCTGAGTGCGCTTGCCTCCTGGAATGCGAGCCAGCAAGATCTGCGCATCCGTCATGTCTGGGTCATATGCCCAAGCAGGCAGAGTGGCAGTGCCGGCCGCGACAGCAGCAGCGGCAACAGCATTTTGCCTCGCCGGGGAGGGAATGAATGCGGTCGGCAGTGCAATCAGCAGCATTGCTGCAGCTGCAGCCAGGCAAAGGGGAGCCACTTTCCGAGCCATGGTCCTGAAATCCTACAAAGCAAATGTTTAAAGCACGCGCCCGGATCCAAAAATGCTGCAGAATGGCAAAATGGGTGAAGTGCTGGCCAGCAAGCCTAGTGACGTGGTACTTCAGCAACGCAGGGCCACAAAAATCTAATGAGCTCCACTCTGCTGTTCTCCTAGATCTTTTATGATCTTTTGGCCATCTTACAACACCGGAAACATATGTTCTCACCATCGGGGCATGTCCAAATGGTATGCTTCGTGTTCTCGGGAGTGGGTATGCCCAATGGCAGCTCTTGCTATCCTTGCATGCGGCATTGGCAACTAGACTTTGCAGGCAAAGGATGCCGAAGAATCGCTTGCCAAAAATGCGCGCGTACGGATCCAAGCCAGCTTCAACTTGCTGACTGTCCAAGAGTTTAGGGAATGAGGCCGTCCCCTCCCGCGCGTACTGCGTACAAACTGCGCCGTGCACGTCGGGGAGGCTCTAGAATTTGCTGAGATTTTGGCCAGAAGTGCAAGCAGCGACTTTGGCACATGCATGGCCTGCTTCTCAATTCTTCAAATCACTTTCTTTTAAACTAAAGCTTTGCGTGTTCCAGCTTTCGCCTTTTCGGCTGGGCTACCAGAGTAGCGCTCACAGTGTACTTTGCACTCAGGCCCTCGATAGCTCCCTCAACAAAGTCACCAACGGTCAAGGGCCCCAGCGAGCCTCACTGCCGGACTGTAATCTCTCTTCGTGGGGGCAAGCTTTCGCCTCAGCCTCTGGCCTGCGCCGGTCAAGAGAATGTCGCCTCTTCGCAGAGGCGTCAGCTCGCTGGCCTAGAATGGTTCGGAAATGATAGCTCAAAACTCCATCAGCAAGCCCTGCTTTCCCATGCGCTGCTGGGAAGTCACATCGGCAATTTGTTGCGCAATGGTGAACTTCATTTTGCTGGTCTCATCTTGTGCGACTGTCTTCCTTAAACGCGAAATTGCGGCAAAACCCGCTAAGCCTCTCATCCTGCAGCCACGGGGCCCGTTCACGCGGCAGATGATACGTAAAGACTCCGGCTTCGGAAGCTCCGAAGCTGGAATAAAGGCTCCCACCTGTGTAGCTGCTTGGCTTTGCCCTGCACTGTCGTTTGAAACGTGCTGAAGCTTCACAAGTGGAGCGCTGTCAGGAATCCCTTGGAAAGCAAACTTGGCAGCCCACTGGCTTGAAGGTGTTCTGGCATTTGTTTCGGGTCCAGGAATGGCCGTACCTTGACTCGGTGTGGTGAACTTAGCTCTTCTTCAGGTAAAAACTACAATATAATGCGAATCATTTGCAGGCACGGCACTTCATAGATTCAAAGCCTTGGCTGGGTCCCGCGCAAACTACCTGTGATGTACTAGCCTCGCTATCAGCTGCTTATTGTGGAGGCACCCCTTTCTCGTTGCAGGAAGACGGCCAAGATTCCCACCAGTCAAGTCAAGCACCATGCAGTAGCCCCCAACATAATCCATCGCTTCATCTGGGGAAAGATTCTCACCTCAGCTGACAAATTGGTCCACCTGGCCTGCCTCAACGTGTATGGCCCATGCTAGCAAGTGAAGCACACAAAGGAAACATTTCGCTCACTGCAGAGCCAAGCTGCAGCTGTGCGAGATCACCACCTCATGCAAACATGCAATTGTGAACACTTGCCAAGACAGCACCACACCGCCTGCCAGAAGGTTCTGGCAAGCAGCCCCGAGTTCTGCTTCCCAAAGCATTTGGACACCCTCAGGAACTTCGCATTGGCCGCCAGAAGCAATTGCAGATGTCATAGGGCAAACGTACCACTCCTGAACTCCAATCAAAGTGAGGGGTGCGAGCATCCGTGCAGTGCTGGCATCTTGCTGCTTTGCCGTGTCAACAAAGAATCACTACAAATAGACACGGGACTGCGCAGTGCCAGCTCCACGCGAGATTTAAGGACGAAGCGCGGTAAGGCCGAGAACAAAGCATGACCGTATTGATTAATGCTCAGTCGGATGACATGAAACCTATGTAGACCAAATTGACATTTGCATGTATGTAAGGCGCATGCCTCTGAATCCTAGCTCCATGCAACCTTCATGCAGTCCCGTGGCAGGCTGCAAATACCTGGGCTTCGCAGTGACATTGGGAAATTTGTTACAGCAATTTCGCCCATGGAGGAGTTGAACCAAAAACCATGATTGCCTGAAGGCAAATGTGCTTGAAACTTGGCAAGGTTGCTCCTCTGCCTTCTTCTGTGCAAGTGTCCGATCTGCGGGGAGCTGCTGCCCTTTATGGTTGCCTGGGGTATCAGATGCGAGATCCATCATCTTGGACGGAATCCAGTTGCGCTTGCCTCATTATTTTGCAAGAAAGCATCAAATGGTACCGAGGATTTTCTGGCCCTCCAACATAGGATAAATTGGCAGCGTCGTGGCCCTCCGTGCCAACCGATCTCGCCTTGTGTACAATCCAAGTGTCACATGTACAGGCTGGGCCTCCCGTCATGGAGGAGGGGAGTGGCAAGTGAAAAACCATGCAAAGCTTCAACCAGCTGCTCTTTTGCCTTGATCGAATTGGCAAGTCTGTCAATTCGACCGAATGATCAGCCGAAACATGAGAGGTGCAAGGTGGCGCCCAGCAACCCTGCCGACCACAAAAAATTGTTGGTAGTCAGAACATCCATCCAAAATATTCATACTTGTGCTGTGCTGTTCTTGAACGATTTTGTCTGCGCTTCGGCCATGTTCTGGGACGGCCGGCGCAAAGTTTTAATAAATATCCTTCTTGCTCGGAAAACAACACTCTTATAACAACCATCTGTTGCTGCATCTTCTTCCAATTCGGTTTTGGGACGCAATGTCTTGCTCCAGTCGGGCTGATTCGTCCCTAAATCCAATAATTTTGTGGTGAGGAAGACCGACATGATTCGTCATGTAGGGTTTTAAAGACCCTTGGCTTGGCTGGTTCCTTTGAGGAAGCCTGGTGATTTGAGAGCCACGCATGAACATTTTCCAGCTGCCTGAAGCAGTTGGTGGGCAATGAGTTGGAGGTCAAGAGCTTCAGGGATTGGTCGCAGGCATCAACGTTTTTGCTCGAAATTTTCGTTACTGCCGTCCAACTTCTTCCCAATCACAAATGGAAGCCGGTATGTCTAGAAAAACATCATGATAGTGGACTGTGCGAGAAGCAGGCCGGAGAAATGAACATCATGGTTTTGGTATTCTTTGGGGGTCGTTGGGGGTCTTTATCAGAGGCAAAACCAAGGTAACGGCCCACAGGGGGAAGGCCGGGTAGCCTCTGACGAAGTCTGCGAGCAGCCACGATGCCAAGAGGACGTTAGTACGAACTTAGTCGAAGGGCCACAGGGCTTTGGCGAACCTAGGCCAGCAGAAACTTTCCGTTGAAACAATAAAGGTCACAAATTCAAATTTTCACAGACCCTAGATGAAACATGACAAAGCAGGGAGGGTGGCACAGACCAAAATAGAGGAGGCCTCCCCACTGTTACCTCCTTTGCGCTGTTCCCCTTGGTTTGCCCAAGCTTTACTTTTATGCAAATTCCGGTTTCTGTTTTATGGGCTCCAAGCATTCCTTGAAGGATTTCGAAACTTTATGTTCAAGGGTAATTCAACCTGGTTCATAAGCTGCATGCTCCCAGGATGCAAGGATTTGCTAAGAAAGCAAAATTCGCATCGTTTCCACGCATATCAACGTACTGGAGAGGGGGAATTACATCATTTGACTCCTGCCCTCCTTCAGCTTGCTCTTGGGCCTACTTTCGGCCGGGCGCCACCCTAATCGCGGCTGTCGGGCACGTCCGCCCAGCGCGTCAACCCCATTGACGGCTTGTTCCGTTCGCGCTAATCCGTTGCCACTGCCTGTTGGAACTGGATAAACAGAAACAGGCAGCGGGTTGATTTCTTTTTCGAATGGCTGGAATTCAGGTGGTCAAGTCCAAAGAGACCACAGCTGAACAGAGACTTGTGTGCTCAACTTTTCAGAAGACGAGGAGCGCAGCAGGCAGACAGTTCTGAAGGGGCATAACACAGGACACAGCAACAGAAGTCCACGGAAGAGAGGGTGAAGTAAGGGGAGGAAAGGTGGGACAAAAAAAATACATTCCGATGCTGCAACCAAACGGCTGTGAGGTGCAGTGTTTCTGTTGCGTGTGTGCAGAAACATGCTGGTCAGCTCCAAACGGTAGCCTCTGAAAAATCTGCTTTGCAAAAACAACATCCGCATCTGTTGGCGAAGCTGCGTTGTCTTGACTATCATCACCCCTCCCCCAGGTGGGCCCCGTAAGTCAAAAGCTCACCCTTGTAAGTCCAATATTTCGAGCCCTTTTGCTTGCGGCCGCTACGCCTGATTGCGGGACGTGCTGTTAGGGCTCTAGCTCTGTAAGCTAAGGTGGGATGAGGTTTTGGGCGCGCCTAGCTCTTTTGTTGCCCTGACACATTCGTCCAACATGCCAGGGAAAACAACAACATGCCTTGGAAATAAAAGGTGATAAAGCTGAAGACGTAGACTTGCGCATTGCGCCCTCGGATGCACAATTTGTAGTTCTGGTAAACATCGACTTGGAGTTAAACGTCAAAATCGGACATCTGCCGCTGGCATTGACTTTCAAGAAACATGGGGTTGTGACCCCAAAAGGGACGTGTCAGTCAACAAAGCAAAACAAGACATGTTGTCATCGATGCTGCCTGCTTTGGACAGAAGATGGAGAAAGATTGCCTGGCTCAATGCCCGTACTAACCGTTTCGCGCCGTCCTCCACTTGCTCACACGCAGCCATTGCAGCTTTCATTTTTTCAACAAATGCCGACGCAAGGGGGCACCGAGATGTTTTCCCAACTGACTTTGCCAAACCTCCAATCCTTTGGCTACATGCGATATCAACCAATGGCTGGACCGGTGAAAAACAGGAAGTGATGATGAGGGTCGACAATCGCACACTGGAGAGGCTTCCTCATTGAACCCCGCCCTCATCAACGAAACCCCGGGTTGGCTTGCAAACCTCCAGCTTTACGGGCACCTGCCCACACCGGGAGTTTAGATTCCCCAAAATCCGGCACAGCCCATGCCAGCCCATCCGAACAGGATGCACAACGTAGATGCTTTGTGAATGTAATCGCCACTTGGAATAGTGTTAAGTTGCTTGACCTGAGAAGCTTATGTTCCATTCTTTGTGATGTGCAAATCGTAACCTGTAGTTTCGGGGAGCTCTGGTCATGACGCCTTATGAGGATCTCTGCCGCATAAGTTAAGACTTGAACGTGCAAGCAGGATGCATGCATAATTCTACAGAAAGGTACGTTCTACCACACGTCTGTTGCCCTGCAGAGGTACACCACACAGCTGTCCTTGGACAAGGCCGCCTTTGAGTAAGATGCAGGCATTCAACAAGATATGTCATTGTGATAATACAATCCGCGTCAAGACGTAGGGGAGTACCAGCAGCAAAGCTGAGCAAATCAGCCACAACGTTGAGCTGACGCGTGATGCTGCAAATGTTTTGCCTGCTGCTTGGCATCAGGAGAGGATGAGTGGCACCGCCCGACAGAACTTTTTGTTCTATTGCACTTGCTGCCGTCGGCTGACAAAAAAGTATTGCATGCGTCCAGTGGCCTAACTTATGCCCAGCATGCGGCGACCAACGTAGGTTGTCGTAAGCCAGCCGCCCGCGTTAGCCAACAAAGAATCGAAAACTGGCTCGCGTGCCTTCATGAGCTGAACACTGTTTTTGATTGCCGCTGCCGCAGCCAAGGCAGGGAAACGAGCAAGGAGGGACATGCAACAAATTGCGACATCGGCGGCCTGATTCCGGCTGTCACTCGTGATCGTTCGTGTAGGCCTTTTGGGAACTAAGAGCCCCACAAACAGCGGTTGACCTTGCATCAGATGCCGGCCTTGTCCAAGTCGCCACAACAAGCTGAACCAGAAACGTTTGCTGCGAACATGCTTGCAAGCAAATGGCTGAACGCACGCGATCAAACGCAGATGCTGTGCCCCTAGAATCACCGTGACTGGTGTTGAGCGCCTTGACGATGCAGGCTGGTTGGTACAGTCTGACTTTTGCTTACTCCTGACGTCGTGCGCGTGCTTAGGCTGTAGCGTGCCAGTGCTGTAGGCCTGATGTGCCGTGAGTAAAGCGCCTTCAGACCGGGGCCCTACGATTAGTTGATTAGCTGTGCCAGATCTGTGCTGTGCGTGTTGAAATTTTCAGCCAAGATCCTCGACCATCGGACCCTAGACTTTGCCAGGGAAAAACTCTCAAACCCTGAATGGTGCGCAAGCCAAATTGAAGCGGGTGACGCCAGAAAGAAAGGGCAAATACCACCAGGTTGAGGAGACGATCCAGGGGACGAGGTCGAGTGTTCACGGAGGAGGCGGAGTGGGACCCCGAGAAGGCAACTGCCTCTAAGAGCAAGTCTGCTGCTTTGGCATTTTCGCGATGCAACCATCCCACCATCCCACTGGCATCTTTATGCGAGCACATCGGGCAAGACATGCTTTAGTGATGCCCGCAAAAAGTCCAGAGCAGGTTTGCTGGATTCGTTTGGCAGTGTTGAGGGCTATCTTGGTCTGTGTCCTTGGTCTTGAGCGCGGTCACGAAGTCGCTTAAAATCATCTGCTGCATCCGTGAAAGCAATCGAACAGACTAGGTGTTGTTGTGGCGCCGATGTGGCACGGCTGAGGGGGTTCATTTTCTTGCCAATCCCGCCCCCCCCCCCCCCCTCCCTGTCACACTAGCCCATGCTTCCCCTTCTATTGTTGCTTAGCCCTGCCAAATTTTCCCCCGGATCTATCTGCGTCTGCATGATTTGGCAATTTGAAGAGTTCTGGCTGGGGGCGTGCAGCAGGGCGGTAAGCTCCGTACCTAGCTAGCATCGCACATCAGGGTCCACAACGTTCGTGGGCAGGCCATGGATTTCCGCAGCCTGGATTATTTCCTCATACATGAAGTTGCCGGGGAGTGGGTAGACACATTGGCATGTGCACATAGAGCAAAAACCTTGTGCAAATAGCATCTTCCACGGAAGAGGCCCTTGGCCGAAAGAGATAACTCTACAAATGCTGTCCTCCCTTCCTTTTTGAGCGGCGGCGCGCTGCCGTGACTTTCCAGGATAAAAATTTCCGAGGTTTTCAGATGTCCGCCGCTCACACGCTAATCCCAGACTTCGCGCTTTGTGCTGCTGCTAGTGAAAGAACTGCCCCACATCTACCAAAATCCGACCCAATAGGATCTCTTGAGGGATAAATGTTCACAGCTGCTAACCGCAAACCTGTGTCTTGAGAAGCTGGGAAACTTTCAGGTTTTAGGGGATTAGTTGTCAGACCTTTACCGCTGGAACTGTTCTTGGAAGGGTGCAGCTAGCAAGTTTAGGAGACTGAATCTAGATTTTGCTTACTGCAGCAGTCTTGTTTTGCACAGGCAAGGTCTCGCAGTGGAGGCTCACTCATCTCATACTGATACTACTTCAAAACCAGTATTTTTGCCATTATTATTCAGGGGGCCCACAGGATGCAGATAGATCAATCAAAGGGGGGAAGTCTGGCGTCAAGGACGAGGGTTCAAGCTACCGTGTTTGCTAGCAGACGCACAGGCTGGATAGCTTGCTTGTCTGCTGCAAACTCTGCCGCCGACTGCAGCCAGCTGGCACGGTCAAAGCTCGGAAGCAGGTGGAGACTACGGGTGTGGCAACGCCCTTCTCCTGGCCCATGCGGTGTACCGACCCCAGCCTAGGTCCAGAATCAGAGTTTGCCCTGGCAAAGCTCGTGCAAAGGCTTCTGCTACGCAACATGGCACTGCATTCCTTGTGCTCTTGCGTCTCCAGTCCGCAGGCCAAGAGGCAAATCTTCAAGCTCGCTGTGCCTCATACGCGTAAGACTATCACAGATTTGCGGAGTCGCAGCTTGACGAGAATCTTCGTTATCAAGTAAAACTTGCGTCAGCGCAGCCACCTTCCAGCCCATAGATCTCGACTACAGCTCGTGGTTGCACCAACAGCGTCTCGCAAGATGGGAATGCCTTGCGAGCAACCGCGTGCCCTGGCATCATGTTTTTGTATCTTCGATCTGGGTGGCGCTTTTCCATCCATGACTGTTGATAGTCAATGCCGCTCTTTCTCGCCTCAGTTTATACTTACATGGAAAAATGCAGTCAAGCCATCCAGTCTTGAAGAGCAACTCCTATTGGCATGACCAAGCCACTATCGCAATGACCTCTTCCATGGCCGAACGCCACATCTGCTCAAGCTCGGGCACCTGTCTGTCATTGAACCTGTTGAAGGGTGTTTATTGGGGTGCACCCTTGCCTGCGGGATGAGGTCCTGGGTTGCAGAGGGGCCGGCAGTTGCCTGAACTGCCGTTGTTGAGCAGATGAAAGAGAACTTTTCCTCAGTTCAAGGTGGCCTGCTGACAATGCTGCGGCACCATCCGGCAAACTGTATGAATCCCGGACGTGACATGCGGCCAAGCAGCCCAACACTTAGAAAGTGCATCTTGCTCCAACGAGACTCAGGTTTCAAGAGAAGTGAGTGTATGTGAGTGTATTGTGCAAATCCAAATCAAGTTCAGTGATTGCATGAGGTGGGGGTTATGATGCTTCCAACTGGCCCCGCCGCCCCGCCTGCCATGCCATCGCACGTGGCAAGCACGGACTCGACCTGCTTCGTCCTTGAGGTTGGAGCACCCTGCGAGAAGTTGCAAATGCGCAAAGGGGGACATCTTCCATCACTTGTCAAGGTGAGCACAAATCCAGTGGCAAAGCCTCAAACTCGCCATAGTAAATGCAAGGCGGATTGGCAGCCCAGTGCTTTATGAGTCCAGGCTCCTTCGCTCCAGAAAGCATGGCAGTTACCAACTTGATGCTGGAGCTTGCAGTTCCTGGATGGCAGCAACAATGTTACACCAACCGACCAGAGGTCGGCCCTTGCCCCAAGAAGTCACAATAGATCGGACTTTGCCAAAAGCATCTACGCCGTTTTGAAGCGGCAGGACCTGGGCAGAGACATCACAGGTCTGGCAACAGCTGCATCGCCATGCATCAGGCCCATTTGTCAACATCTTCTCTGTGTTGTGGCCGAGGAGCAAGAGTGCTTGCCCCGCACCAGGGTTGGCACATCTTCAAGCATCGCTCGACCTCCCATGCCTGTAGATTGGTGGTCGTCTAATGCTGAAAAGCAGAATGCTGCGGGCCAACCTTGCAGGCCAGCACTATCACGTCAGCATCAAATTTTGTCTCCTTGTCCAAGGCTTCCGTGTTCATCACCTGGTAGGTGTCTGGGTTCACTGCTTACCATATAAAGGGCTTCAGCAGTCGGAAGATGTTCTCAACAAGTTTTTCTTCAAATTCTGTTCGCAGCAGGCACGTGACAACCACTTGTCTGAAAACCACATGCCGTACCAACTGTGAAGACTTTCGGGCGACGGTGACCAAAGCTGTGACAAAAGTCCTAGGCATAGATGCCAACAGCACCTAGGAGGTGAAAAGAGGCAGCGTGGCGTTGGGATATGTCGGGGGCAGCTGAAGTCTCTGCACGGAGAGCCTGGTCCAACTCAGATCGAGGAATGTGCACATCACCACAAATGCTCCGTACCTGATCTAACGCTCCCCGAAGTTTGTCATAAGAAGATTTGTAGTCTTCAAAAAGGGCACTCGAACGCCATCTCCGCTAAGAACTCTCAGCGTCTCTTTCCTCACCTGAAGCTGCAGCATCTATGAATCTATTCACATGAACCATGCGCCGCATTCCCGGTTCTCTCGATTGGTACTAATGCAGCGCGTGGAGCCATGAAGCTCACCTTCTGCTTCTTCCTCATCTGCTTGCGCTGCCCACAGATTTGCCAGGGGGACATGACAAGCTTATGATGACCAAGATGCTGTGCCAAGCGTGCACCAAAGTATCCTCCGACGGCCCCGCAGCCGAAAAAGAGCCATCTCAGTGGACCTCAGTGGTGCTGGCCACTCCACTGCCAACTTTTCAGGCCATTACAAACTTGTACATTCATGAAGCTTGAGCAGCTGGCCATCTGCAGCCATGATAGGCTTTTTCTACACGTGCACGCTGATAAAAAAAAAGTACTGCGGAAGGTTGCCGGCAAATGCCCAAGCACTGAGACGAAGGATGTCTGATTTATCCTTCTTCCTTGTTGCTTGGAAGGATACAATTTACGGATCCCTCAAGGCACGCCCCAAGAACAACCAAACAATAAATCTCATAGGATGGCAAGTCGAGTTGTTTGCCATAGAACATATTGCAGTAGCAGCGTGGCGTCGAAAGCTCTGCGTACAGGCCGCAAACACGGGATGACACAGCCATAGGACTTTTGTCACATCAAGACACCAGCAGATCTGCATCTGTCCGCGGCCTCTTAAAGCAGGGTGCTTTTGGAGCTGTCAACTGCCACAGCAGGCCGAAATAGCTTGAGGAAAGGAGGACTTGTAGCATCTCAAGAGATAGTCCCAATAGCCGCAGGCAGTTCGTTGAAATGCAAGCGGCTTCGACACACGTGCCGGCTTGCAACTCTCTCTCTGCTGACTTTGATCTAGATGAGCTGGGATGTCCGCAAAGTTGCTGCCTGAAGAAGAACTCGACCCCCAACATGACTCGACAGAATTCCCAAGCATTCCTGCTGCATCTGGCTGTGAAGAAGGTATACGGCTGGCATGTGGCATCATGATGATTTCAGGATGGCTGCAGCCACAGCCCTTGCGACCTGCTCTGCACCTGAGCCGCAAACTTGCAAACTTGACAAGCTCATTGGACCCTTGCTGACACGTGGTGATTTCATCCTTGCTTACCGGAACTCTAAAACAAGGTCCAAATGTGGCACCTTCCTTGGATAAATGAACGGCATCCGGTCGGTAGCCATGAGGCGATATGCATACGTCCACCAAGGCGGTGTCCGCCCTTGATTTCCTTTCAGCAAATAAACCATGGCGTCAACAGTCGATATGGTGTTCTGAAGACACAGTTTGTGAGCTAGGGACAGCCAAGTCACGACACTCTCCGCAACTGAGGATAAACGTGCTTCGTCAAATTCTCTTTGAGGCGTCCCTCCTTCGCCTTGTTGCCACCAAGCTCATGAGATTGCACGGGCAACGATCTCTCACATCATCCCCCAACATTCTCGCAGACATGAACTGCGTCTTCCGGGGATGGCGCTCCGGGCGGCAGCACCACAATGAACGGGCGGAAACTGTCAGGCAAGGGCGCGGGAGTTCTGACCCTGGGCCAGGTAGCTCAAGTAGGCTTGCTGCAAACCAGTAGACATCAGCAGTCTCAATCGCTAGCTTTGCCCAGGGCTGACTGAATTTGCAACGCATGCTGTCCTGAAGAAAATGTTGCTTTTGAAATGGCTAACACAAAGACAACTTGTTTCATGTTGGGATTGTGCGCTGATTTTCAGCAATATCTGAGCCAGTGCTCGCCCTTGGCGTGTCATGGCTCGTCTGCATCCTCCTCGCTCGGATCATGTATAGAGTCGGCCTCAAGACCAGACATTCTTTGGTACCGCTGTCGGGGCACGGGGCATGGGCGTGGAGCATGCGAGTGCTGAAAGCAGCCATGGTTGCCGGGTGAAGTGGTGCTATGTCTGGGACGCACGCGTGTAGATCCTTCTGAAAAATGAGCGTCAAGAAAATTCTTTGTCACTCTTTTGATTCTCTGGATTGCATTTGCCTGAGCAGACCCCATGTACTGGTGCAGAATTCCATGTTGCCCCCCCCCCCCCCGCCCCGCGTCAAATTTCGCCCATGCAAAGCAGAATCTTTCTCGAACACCTGGCAGTACAAACCGTTGGTCTCACCACAAACACGTCTTCAAGAAAGAAAGCACCCTGCCACTGCACCCGCACAACTACACTGCTGAAGCTTAGTGCCAGATGTACACCAATGACACTAATGCGCGTGGCATCTTGAACTCCCTGTAGCGTAAAGCTGGTGCACTGCACAGGAGCTTGGGACACGTCGTGCGTGGAGCAGTTCAGAGGCTCGGACGTGCTGAGATTGTCCAGCAAGGTGACAATGCTGTCGCCAACCTGAATTGGGCCTATGTTCAATGACCATGATGCAAGCCAAGCACAGTCGTTCGCATTCGACAGCCCGACACCTTGTCAGGCTCCCCAGCTCTATGCCAGGCATCGTTGGTTCCGAGCATTACCTTGCGACCAAACCAGACTATCACTGCATGCTGACTCCCAGATCGTGACTATCAGCACCACGCTGCCACAAAGATATGAGCTGCATACTCCTTTGCGTCAGTATACCGTTGCTGATTTGCGTAGCCTCGGTTTAGACATCTCACTGGGCTACTTGGACTACGCGCAAAGGAGCATACGTAGATGCTGTCTGACTCTGCCCCAAACCAATGCTAGTCAAGCTGGAGAAGCACTTCTTACCGGGTGTGTTGACCACCACTGCCCCATTGACACCAAAGGGCTTCACCGTGAAATTGCCTGAGCCAGCCTGCAGTTTGCTGCCGGGCTGAATCTGTGTAAGAATCATGGTCAGCATAATGCAAGGGGTTTGCTCAAGTCCTGCGAGTGTCAGAAAAACTCTTGACCCTTTCGTTGCACGAAAAGTCATCCTGCTGAAGAAACATATCACGGCAAACTGTTAAGGGATCCTGTCCAGCATGCTGCGAGCTGAGTGGTTATGCTTCGCACAACCGCGGGCTTGGCCTAGGGCCTAGGATTGCATGCTAAACTTGTGGGAATCAAACTTGAGGCTTTGACCGCCCCAAGCATAGCAAGCTCGGATAGATTGTTACAAGCCGCAGGGAGTGCTGTATCTGACCACGTGCAGTGCGTGAGTGTAGCCAGAAAGGAACGAAGGCATTTCAGTGGAATCGGGTATTCAACACACACATTGCGCAGCACTCCGCGGCAACGTCTCGTGTATTCTGGGCAATAGGTTTTCAAGGATATTACTCCACGCGAGGATTCCTGTCAATCTTTACCTTCTCATGTCCTCACTTGCGACCATTAACCCAGCAGTCGGCTCTCCACAGCGGTGCTGTCTCAGTCACGTCTTGTTCATTGCCACGTGCAACCCAAAATTGATCATGTCAGAGACTAGGAAGTATCAGAGCTTCTGTCGTAGTATGTGCATCGGCTTGAACCATCCCGGTGGCAGCTTAGAGTTGGGCGCACCGCGCGCTCAAAGATTGGTGTGTTTCCGTGTATGGAGATTGTGCGACATGGCGTCGGTACAGGAAGTCAGCTAAGAGATGCAAGAAAAAAGATTGCCGCCCTGGTCATGGCGACATGTGCAAGTTCAAATTCGTGTCCTGCTCCTTTGGATGCAGCTCTAGCAGCTTGCAGGCCAATTCTTGGAACGAACATGTCGGAAGGCTCGGAACATTGGAGCCGGGACAATTCGATGTGATGATCCTATTGGCCGTCCCGAACAAAAAAGGTTGATACCCTGCACGCTTGCACGCCAAGATCACGCCTGCTGAGTCCGATAGATGCTGCTAAGTCGCGTGCTCATCCAATAGCCGCTGTAGTTGCGCGGGGTATGCTCCCGACTTCCTGAAACATGCGCTGGTGCTCATGGGATATCTTGGGAGATGTGAGGAGCACAGACATGAGACAAACCTCACTTTTGGACGAGCGGCCCAAGCCCTCCTCCAACAGTGTTGGAATCGCCCAGGCATGCAATGCGAAGAGGGCTGTTGCCGCTATGCTTCTGCTTTGCTACAGGCGTGCTGGCAGGTCGCTTCATGCCTGAGCAGCCGCAGCAACACAGGTAGCTCCACTCCGGCAAAAGGCGAAGCATGGGCGATGCAAACGACCACTTTCAGGAAGAGCCAACAGCATGTCAGGAGCGGGTCGGCTTCAAGGCTGCCCAGTGCACGTGCTTATACTGCACGGTTCCCCTGCTAGCAACTGTGAAAGAGAAGATGCCTTTTTCTCTCTCTAGCATTCCGCACCTTCACAACCCATCATCTTGCACGTCAGTACCTAAGCTGTCGGGGTGAACATTTACACGCAGGATCATGATGCCACTTGGCTGGGACATCCATGAGGAAAAAACAATGTCCCGCACATGAGCTTACAACGTTCAGCTGGGAGACTGGTCGTCATCCCCGGCTGCAGGCTGGCTTCCCTCGACCTTCTTGTCCTAAGCCCCAGTACAGCTTTCAGGTCAGCTGCCATGGTAAGGTGTTTGTCTGGCCTGTTCAGCTGCAGGTGGAGGAGCAGGCCGCTTCTCTGCTGAGGCATCTCCTCCGCAACTGCACTGTACATGTCCTATGTATTCGTATTCAAACAGGGGCGAGCGGGTGGGCACTGGTGGTTGAACTGCCTGACTTTGCATCCGCTGCTGGAGCCTTGACCTCACCAGCCTTCAGAGCATCATGCTGAAGCAGGATGCCGACCGCTAGGCTCGCGTCCAGCCTTGTCCTGACCTTCACCCTCGGCACTCTGCTTCTGACCATCGCCCTCGTCGCTCGGTTTCTCGCTGGTAGTCTTAGGAAGGATGAGCAGAAGCCTCAAAGCAGACTGATAAGACCCAAATTTGCAGCAGAAGTGGCTGTCTCTTTAGTCCAATACCGCAACTGATTCGACAAGCTGCCAGACCGGAATCAGGACAACACACCTCAACAACAAGAGTCAAGATAAGAAAGTGTTCTATGGAGGGTTGCAGATGGTGTAAACGCTACGGCGCCAATTTTTAAACACCCGGATCTCTAAATAGGTTGAACAAATCTTTTACACCACCTCCGCGAAAGAATTGGGGGGGCCGCCGTTGATTCTAAACATCCGGAACCATGCCAGCTTCCAACCCCTCCAGCCCTCCAATTGCAGCCCTCCCAACCCTCCAACCTTCCAACCCTCCAACCTTCCAACCTTCCTTGAGGGTTGGAAGGTTGGACAGTTGAAAGGTTGGAGGGTTGGAGGG